CAAAAGAATGAAATTTTGATTATAAAATAACCTGTTACTACTAGAATAACCTTGTTTTTTTACAAGATGATAAAAGCTATTTCCGAAGACTTTCGTAAGAAGGATAATCAAGTTTAACATGATTGACTCTTGATCTGGTGATTTATGTATCATTCTATTTTTTTCATTGAATTTAATATATAAAACCCTACTATATAAAATAATCAAAAATGAAAGGTTCTTAATGATTACTCCAATAAGTATAGTATATAAAATGTGTAATATATATTATGTTCGCAACTTTTTTTATATTAAAAATATATTACAACATATTATTTAATGAATTGGTGAAGTTGAGGCTATATCAATACATTCAGTGTACGTATCTATTTAAATTCTGGCGTTTTTATACTATAACTATAAAGGTTAAGAGTCAATGATTATTTGTAACAAAATGAGATCTATACTAAACAAATCACTGTGCATGTGTTAGAATTTATTATCACGGGGATAACTCGGATATGTACATCCGTACATACGTATGTATTTTGTCGATATTTGCTTTTAATTAATTCAAAAGTCCAAAAATAATCATAACACTTTCAAAAAAAAAAAAAAAAAAAAAAAAAAAAAAAAAATAGGTTATAAGGGCTTTAGGTACTATTTCATATATCTGTCAAACATAATAATTTTAATAATAGATAAATGGTAAACCTGGTACGTATTGTAATACGTACATAAGTTGATTAGTTGAATAAAAATAAGGTTTGATTACCATCCAAAACTAGAATGAAAACTTCAATATTTAGCGTTAGGTCCGAAGTTTCACTTTCCTTATTTGGGAAGCGCTTAAAGTGTAGGTTGCACACAATTTATCCTTGTTAGTTACGTTATCAAAAGGATATTGTTCAAATAGTGGCCCAAGAATTTCATAACTTGTACTTCGTGAAATCGTTTCTAAATGTGAAGGCAAGAAAAAGTCTCTTGAGTTGCAATAAATCTTAAAAATATCAAATATCGCCTTAAAAGTGCAAGGATTCATTCCAATTGGGACTTAGACATTCGACCAGTGTTTGAAATTAGTGTTCTCAGAGTTATCATGGGAACACAAATTTGTGAGTGAGAACAGCTAAAAGCTGAAAATTTAAAATTTTTTATAGTAGAGAATACCCAAAAATTGACTCTAAAAATACTAAATAGAAGGTAAAAGTAGCCTAGTCCCAGATTTTGAACATTGATCGTGTTTTTGAAAGATCAGCGAAACTGAATGCAGTGGTGTGTACCTGCACCAATTTTCGAATGTGCATTATATGAATGTCTGAGAAAATAATAATTGATGCTACGTTACTAAAATAATAATTGTGGCAGATTAAAATAAAATTTTTATAATTTTAATATTGATATGAAATTTTAAAATTTTTTGGGGTGTATTTTTTTCGGATTTTTTTAGGTACAGTACGTGTGACACGTATAGTTGTTCTTGCGATCTTGTTGGTTGACATAATTGATATATAAGTGATCGAAAAGATTTTAGCGTACAGTACGTTGAAAAAGTCTAGAAAGGTTCTAGGATAAAACTCGTCCGGAGGTCTGGTTACACAAAGGTTCGGAGTATATTGTTACTATTGTAAATTGGGAAAGCGAGTAACGGTGCACGGTTTAGCTCCAATAGTTAACAGGTAATAGGTAAGAATCACTAGGTTTATAAGGGAAATTGGGAGAGCGAATTGTAATATCGATAATAACTATACTGAGGATAGTATAAAAGGGGATAGGGATGATATAATCAATGATATTATCAATCGGGATAGCAATATAATAAGGGGAGGTCGGGGATAATCTAATTTAAACAATCGGGGTTAATCTTTAAATGTATAATAAACTAATAACTTAAAAGTGA